ATTCACTACCTAGGACTAACTGATCTAGAGACAATATATGAATTTCCCTATCTAAAGCATAAACCGTATCAAGAAAATACACAAAATACTTCTTCATCTCTTTCTCCTGCTTCTGATATGACAAGTAATAACACTAATAAAATGATCATGGCACAACGATCATCAGGATATAGTCATTCAAAGATAAATTCATCAACTAGACAACTGACAGCTACACGAATCGCATGTGTAACTGCATTTCGACAAGCCAGACGAAAACTATTGAGGATTTATAAAAATCTTCGACCATTAGATGAATTAAGTGAATCACTAGATGACTCAGTAATTAATAATCAGAAGGAACAACAACTGCAAGTTGATATCGGTACTAATAGTAAAGCAATAAAAACTCTAAGCACAAACACTGGAAATGCCGCATCATCATCATCAACATTATGGCAGATGGAGTTGACGAACAATCCACGAATACCTCATGAAGCCATATTTGTATTCGGTGGTTGGCAAAAAGGTCGTCCTTCTCAAAATGTTTATGTTTTCGATGCTCGTAAAGATGAATGGATTACATTTGAACCACAAAATGACACAAACAAAAATGAATTCACTATCAATGATTGGATTGTACTGCCAGTAGCACTGATGAGTTTCGGTATATGCCTGGTAGAAAATCGTTATATTTATATAGCAGGAGGTGAATATGCAGACACGAAAACAACTGCCAATGTTATCTGTTTAGATTTGTTGGGTGTATTCTCTAGGGATAATGGAAAGGCTGAGGAAAAATCTGGGTGGAAAACTTGTCCACCTTTACATGAAAGTAGGCGTGATTTAGTCCTAGTCAATTTAAACAATCAAACGTTATATGCTATTGGAGGAGACAATAATCGAAGTGTATTGAATAGTGTAGAAAAATATGACTTGAATGAAAACAGTTGGATGGTTGGCAGAGGATGGAACGAAGCACCCAGTATGTTAATAGCTCGTGGGGCTCCAGCTGCTGACTCGTTGAACGGAGCAATCTATGTTTGTGGTGGATACACTGAAAGCCGAATGGAGACGTTGACAAATAGCTGTGAAATGCTATGTTTATTGACAAACCAGTGGACATTTATTCAGCCTATGGCACAGGCCCGATATTATGCCCAGGCCATCTCAATAGAAGGTGTACTGTTTATACTTGGTGGTGGAGGACCCGCTAGAAATGAGGCGAATGTCGGCTACAGTAGTACAGTAGAACGTTATAACGCTGAAACAGGCATATGGGAATTAATGCCTCCAGCAAAAGAACGTGCTGATTTCGCTGCCTGCTTATTTGAAAACGAACTTGTGTGCCTCGGAGGTGGTGGAGAAGCATTTTGTACGGATGAAGTGGAAACATGGAAACCATGGATACCAAGGGCAGGATCTGGTCCCCATTTTCCAATAAATGATTTATTCATCTCACAAACGTACAATGACACAACAATATCAAATCTAAATACAGGACCCATTTGGCTGAGATCTGTGGGGCAAATTAATGATGATAATAATAATACACAATGGAAAAAGGGTACAAACCTGCCCATAGCACTGTGGGGTCACAGATGTATTGTGGTCAAAGGATGTGAAATAATCCTCCCCTATTTAAAGCGATCAACTTCATTTGTATCGCAAGAGAACAAGGCATGTAGCATACTTCAAGAGAATATAACCATGTCTTGTGTTTTTATTGACAATGATTTGATCGTTATACCTGAAACTAAAACTGGAAATGATGAAGAAGTCGAAGAGATAGAAGAGGACAGTGAACAGAATTCCATCGGACTATTAGAACAATTCACCTTATCTAACAATAATCAAACAAGACAAAACTACAGTACTAATAACGAACAAGACACTAATTATCAATCATTAGAATTTAATGACAACTTCAATTTAACATCAGATGTATTTATGGAACCAATATAAATGCAAAATACGATGCATTCATTAAAAGGCTTTACTCTAGTCCCCAATCACTTCAACGAGTACAAGCATATAAAGTGTCGAAGAAATATAATATTATATACATGTAGATATGGTATGACAACAGAAAGAAGCAAGTGATAATACTACTATCACTAGGATTAGTCAATACCTATTCTGACAACACCTTTAAAACTGCGCTAATTCTTCAACTTTGTTTCATTTCAAATATCAATCAAGCGAATATATACTAAATTGGCAATAATAAGATGCAGACAGAAGAACAATTTGCCTAGTACACATTATTATTATTATCTGTTTTACCCTATGTTATAGGTACAAAGACCATGTGGCTTAACTCCGAAAAAGAGAAAGTACAAAGAAGCGTCCAGCATGATGATAAGCTTTTGTTGTAAGAGAACTGTGAATATAAAAATGCAATCCAACTTATTACAACACTGTTTCCCTTTAATCTGTGTAGTGTACTAGTATTGTAAACTTTATTATAAACACAAAAACATTGTAAATGACGATCAGATGTAAAGAGACATCCCAACAAATTCATACATTACAATAAATACATCATAAGGTGTTCGCATATACAAACACATTAGCACATACATACGTAAGTGCATATGAATTGTCTTATCGCACTTCACCTCTATGATTATATATACATATATATACTTGATAAGAATACAGAATATCAGTGCGTGACACTACTTAGAATACCTTGATTATATTTGTTTTACAACTGAATAAAAAAGCGTACAGAACACGACTAGTACATACGTGATTACGGAGAACGAAAAAGACAAAGATTATTTGAGTGAGAAAAGTGGCATCTAATCTATGATGTTTTTGGTTGTACACCTAAGCCATTTAGAAATGTGTTCGATGTCAGGTTCACAACCCAGATGAACAATAAAAAGAATGACTGATAACCTTAGGTGATATAAGTTACAATAGATCACTGTAGCAAAATTATGTAAAAATCTTTTCTAAATCTAATAATTTTCGAGTGTTGTTTTGCAAAGACTTGATTGATTTCAAGTTTAGTCACTAAATGACTTCGGCTAAAGAATTTTCGAAAACCAGGGAGCATTGGACAGTCGTTTTTGTCCCAGCACCCATGAATTTCAGATCATGAGGTGAGCCTGTTGTCCATTCTCCAGCCACTAGGACAGGATGCGGTGGCTCACGAATACTAACTCCTAACCCCGTACATTCTTATTTTCTCTATACCCTTTCGACTATACTCGTATGTGCGTCTAAGATTCGCCCTCTTAAATTTACGATTACATTTAATTCATTAAATTCATTAAATCTTAGTGTACTAAGGAAACCTGAACCTGAAGGCTACAATATTACCAGTTAGTAGTACAGTCTGACGACGAATGAAAATCAGAAATCAAAAGTTACTTAAAGGAGTCTGCAGAAAGCCTATTTAATTATGTACAAATTAGAAGTGTAATGTGTCAAGAAATTTACCTTCTAATTTTCATTAGAAATATGTCTAAGCTCAGACGCCTGATTATTATAAGTAAATCATACCACTATGAAAAAGTTATTTGTGTATGAATTTCAACAGAGTAGTAACAAGAGCCGAAGCATAATTGGAACCATAATATATCTTTTCTCTAAGCATCGAAAATTATTATTTATATGTAGGCATAAGTACCCCACATTTACTAAATTGCTTTTCAAAGAATAGTTGGGATACTTCACTTGTTGGATATCGGAACTATCCCAAGAAGAATTTTAAAATTCAATTATCCCTAACAACTAAACACTCACTATTCTTTCTCCCACCTCTTATATATATATATATATATATATATATATATATATACGTATATTGGCAGAAGATAAGAGAATCGGTAACCGAATGGGTTATTGGCAGATTGATACAAGGATACAGGCAAAATATGTCTACCAAATATTAAAATCACAGTTTTCACATATCTTCATTATTGTAGCACTTTGTCTTTCGCATGGTGCTGCTTTCTCTTCCTTTTATTTTCTCCACGTTCCTTGACAAGCACCGTTATTTAAATCCACCTCTCCACTATTCGATATTCTTGCAGATGATACACATATTTATATCTGAAACTATATACTACTTGTAAGTCTTGTCAGTAGCACACGCTAAATATATATGTGTATGTTACTTTACAGTCAACAATGTAAATCCGCTAAATATATAACATATATTTATTCTTGAGTGTTTTCACCTTATGTTCCGAGGAATGACTGGAGATGAACATAAGGCAGTAAAAATTCAGCTTGAATATCTTTATACAAAGAATAAATTACGTACATGCAGAAGTGATTGAAAGGAAATAATTGGCAATCTTCTGAAGCCTATGACAACAAGAAACTTAGTGAGCAACACCTAAAGAATATCGTCTATTTTCCAACAATACCATTGTAAGATTTTTTACATGATAAGAGGAATGAAATGATGTATATCTTCTGAAGTCGACAACTACTACAGGGTTAAAGACTGTCTTATTAACATTCAATTTGGAGAAAAGTTCCACTCTATAGAATATACAAGGAGAATAAACTGGTAAACAAATCAACATGGAACTTTGCAAATAAATGCATTAGTTCAACTTACCACACATCACAATACTGCATGGAAACAGAATGTAAGCAGGATAAAGAAAGACGGATATATGACAAGAGTATTTGTAAGAAGAAATTGTCTTATTTACTAACGATTGGGACATTTAATTACAGAAATAACAATTTCTGGAATTGAGGACTAGGAGGCATATTTTGTCTCATCTTTTGAAACTCCTCAAGCATATATAGTTACCGCCCACCTGGCAACTCAGGCGCAAAACTCATCACCTTTAAAATCAAAATCTATCACAAACAGGTCCCTTTTCTAAAAATATGTATATTTCAATTGACTATGCAAATTCCTTACACCAAAGAACCATGAACATTTTATACTCTAGCCAGGAATGAAACCTGTAATCCAAATCTATCCACAATGAAAGCAGGGAAATAAAAACCAATTTATGCAAAATAGTAGTAGTAGTACTTACATGTAAATATTTTTCAACGAATTTACTTTTATGATTTTTACGTAAAAAGTTGAATAGAAATTGTTCATATTTCGATAGCCATAATGAAGTAGACGATAGGTCATGACCAGTGTCCGAATCTTCTGCAGCTCTTAAAATGCATAAATCAGTGACTAAATTAATTCCGGAGGTTTGTCCATCCCTATCATCATTGGGTGTTGAATCGCTGGTGTAATGTAATCTGTAGAACCAATTTGGCATAAAATAACAGCCTTTAGGTAAAAGGTCAGTGTATCGAAACAGGATCTGATATTGTTTGTTTTTAATAAAAGACAAAAATAAGATAAGTGAGCTTAGTTTAATACACAGATTTACCAACTGGTTAATTAAAATAGTTGATTTTGCATGTTTTGTGATACAATGTAATAAAAGCATAAATATATGTTTTATATATATACCGAGATTTAATGAATTCATTAAATCCTGCTTTATGGACGCATTTGTTGCTTGTTTCACGATCTAAGGTGTTTAATACTATTCCTGACTATCTCATATGATTCAGCGAATCACACTTCTCTTACGCTGTTTTGTTCAGCATTACTATGAATTCGAATTTCGATTGTCAAGCAGACTGACATCTTTAGAACAAGCCAAATCATAGCGAACAATTGAGTCATTAAACATACATAATAATAAAAGTCCGCGATGATGATTTTTCCGACTCGAGTGGATGACGCATATACGAGGACATGAATCGTATTTCAAAGAACACTGACAACTTAAGTTATGCCTTTTATGAAGCTCTTTAACATGAAAAAATCCAACTAATAAATGCAGATCCATCATCTAAACGAAGCTAGTATATGATTAACTACTTCCATAATCTAAAGTGAGAACTTTTCGGCTTTTTGGATCAAATTTTAATACTGATACAATGAGAGAGAATAATGCTGATAAATAATTCCTAAGAATAAAAAGGTACAAACACTCTTGGTTTACTATCTCTTCTTCCCTTAGTTTTGAAAGTATTCTGGAAAACATAACACATCCGCGCATAAGTCAACCAATTAGTGAAAACTACGAATTCAGGACAAGTCTTCCCCTGGAAAAACTGCTATAAATTAATCAGCATATAGATTACAGTATAATTAATAATAATAATATAATAATAATAATGAAAAACTTACTTCACGTATATCCATGATACTTTCTTCAAAGTAGTAAGCAGCTTTCTTTAAATCAGCTAACTCAAAATAATAAAATCCTAAAAGACCAAGTACTCGTTGTCGTCTCTGGAAATAAAATAAAAACAGTGTATACACATATACACTACTGATTTAATTGACAAATACAAAAAGAAATACAATTGTGTTCAATGAAAAATCACTCAGTTTTATAGCCTAATTCAACTTTACTTATTATTTCGAAACACCGCCTTACAATCAATTAAAAAAGAGCATTGAACATCACATACATGCTGGCATTCAAAACCCTATATATGATAAACATTAGGGTGCAGAGTATAGAAACAATCAGGACATCTGCGGTAGGGATTTCACCATTTTTCTCATCATATCACTGTAATCACTTATTTATTCATTCATTTGTATTCATAAAGAGGACGTAAAAATAAGCATAAGAACTAAATAACGCCAACTATAGAAACAACATCTGTAATGAAATAAATAAAATGATAAACAAAAAAAGGGAATAATGTGAGGGGGTAGAATAAATCACGTCTGCCAGCATACTAAGCATTTACCTAACAGTCTTGAATTTAAGGGCAGTTTTAAATAATAAAGTGTAACGTATTAGGAGGCAGTCGGCTGGATGCCCTGGAACTAGGATTTGTGCTTGGCAATACTCTTCAGCAAGGTGCATCCACAGCCTTAAAGAAATTGATGTTCTTTCTAAGATTCCAACGCATGTCACTCTAGTGCTGCAGCCAGAGGTATTACTCCTGAGCTAGTTAGGCTCACAATTAACCTTCTGCAGGACTGTGTTGCACATTTTGATCCGCCCTTGAGCGGTAACCAATGTCATAATCCTAGACGACAATGTTGGCACTGACTGAGTTCTATCAATTAATCGTGAGCCATAATAGCACCAGTGCTAACATCTGCAACCGTAGCAATGTATGACCCAGATTCCAGTCACCGAAGGGACATCAGTTTCTTCAACGTGGCAGATATGTCTTTTTGATGATTGCTGAGAGGTGTGAAACCTAGGTCCAGTCAGAACCATCACAACGCATCAGAAACATGACACCGGCCGTGCTCTACTGACCAATAAATGTAGAAAGTAATTTGTCAGTAGTAATGAGCATTTTTGATAGTCCCCGTTTGGAATGCTTCTTGCAAATTCCAAAAAGAAAAAGTTGTGTGAGTAACTTGATATGATTATGAGCAATAATTTGTGCTCGAAACGTCATCAGTTAATATTACTGTGTAACACTGTGTAACTTACCAAAATAAAAGCTTATCCATAATGGAGTTATATTCTACCACAATGCCCAAGTTTTATATCAATTCCAAAAGGAGTCGAGCTTTTATAATTTAAGATGAAGAATATCTGTAGCTTATGATGTAGATATTCTCCAAGCTGATGTTTTGGGGTTGAAGAGATTCTAGTCACGATTTTCATAGATATTCGAAAGCTAATAAGTTTGACTTTATATTGAGTTTCTATACAAATTAGTCATATCATAGTGATTGTTCCTATTTTCTCAAGTTAGCTGACTCTGAGATGATTTTAATGGGGTAGTGCTGTGGTAGGAAAGGGATGCATACTTTGTTACTAGTTAGTCTTGTTCATTGACTGATCATTTCAGTGTGCAGCAAATTACAGGCTAAATTTCTTAAGTTGATTGGTTACAGCGCTTCGACAATGGTTGGAAGTTTGGACAACATCTTATGCGTTTCTTTGTTCCTGCCAGACGTCTTCAGTAGCGCTCAAATTGAAGATTTTGAGTTGTATTTATGTTGTCACTTCAGTTTTTCCTTTGACTGTAGTTGATACCTGTTTACGCTTAGTTTCTAATCATCTTGAATTATCTCCTCTACCTCTAAACTGTATTTGTAACCTATTCACCCCCGTGCCACATATCTTCTTGAACAGTTTTATCGGACATGAAGGATGTTAAAAAAAAAATACCTTAATTTTGGAATATGTGCAATTTTGCGTTAACTCTACCCAATAAATGCGTCCCATAAAAGTGCACTGGGGGGAAAGTATCCAAAGTGTATGCATATCGCTCAAAATAGTTGTTGGGATACTTCTGCAAACAATACGCTTGACGCAATTAATCAAAACGACTTGTATTATTAAATTTAATGTTGAAATGGACTAGAGCTGAAGAATAACACTAAGCTTCAAATCGAAGTATGCGCTGAACATGTTGCCTAGTAAGGCAATGAAAGCTTCACAAATACACCATCCAGATCAAAGAACACAACTACATCAAAACTCTAAACTTGTTAAGCATAAAAATTGCAAAACAGGAAGTTTACTTTTCATACTTCAAGAAGTCCTAATGAAAACTTTAGGTTGCTTATTTTCATTACTTTGCGTTCAAATTGGAACATAGCTCTGAAGTCCCAGTAGATATAGCGGTGATGTTTTTACGAGGTAGGGTTGCTAGCCTGATGTCCAACCTTCGTTTCTTACGGAGTTTAATACCGGCTACGGGAGGTCTAGGAATGCGTCAGTCAGGAAGATAAGTAATTTAGAGAAAAGCTCAGCAATTGCATTACATGCATTAACGCACAACCACACAATAGGGTGGGAGAGGGCTAAAATTCTAAGAAGTAATATAAGTGGAGAGAGAGATTGACTACTGAATCCTGGTTCATTGAGTCGACACCCAACACATGCAACAGAAATGACTCAATGCAAATACCAGATGTATGGAAGATATTATTACCACCAGTCAAATCAGAGGAGGATAATAAATAATCTCAAAATTCTATTTCAATTCAAACACACCACCACATTCTAACAAGTTACTTATTATGATTATAAAAACACTCGTCTTATTTCCCATCTGATTGCAATTGATCAATAACACTCATATTATCATTTCTGAATGCACACTATCCTATATTGGTTTTTATTTAAGTATCTAGTGAACTCCACACATGTATATAAATGAAGGAAAAAGTTGTGTGAGTGACTTGATATGATTATGAGCAATAGTTTGTGCTCGAAACGTCATTAGTTAATATAACTGTACAACACTGTGTGATTTATCAAAATAAAATCTTATCCATAATGGAGTTATACTCTACCACAGTGCCCAAGTTTTATACTCATATCAACAATACAATGAGTAAAACAATGATAAACAATTAAAATGAAACAGAAAAAAATTAAACCATTAACTTGTAGGGGAAATATGCAAAGTGAGTAATTATTAAACTACGTAATTTTACCATATTAAATAATTGTTGTTCACTTTTGAATTTCTCAACTTGAATTTGCATAACTTGAGAAAGGCGATTCCTTTCATTTTGTTGTACACTGAATGCTTGCTTCAAACAACCAGTTAGAATGAATCTACGTGCAACACGATCCCAACGCTCTGGACCTAAACAGTGAATTTTTATACTTGAATCATCCGAAGAATACGACGATGTGTTAATAATGAAAACTAGGTGAGCATCCGTTGAAAAACAAGCTACAGATGACTTTTGAAGATTGACAGTTTGTAGTTGAGATTGTGTTAGGATACTAGAATAAAAAAGAAGATGAACAGTATCATTTATACTCACTGTAACAGTCTTATAAAATAAGAAAGTATGTGTGGCTTTCGCTAGTGTATCACTCAGTGACACACTATTCTACGTTTTAAAAGACAATCTCATCTCATTATTCGTGGATAAAAATAACATAAAATGCTTTAATGAACAAGGTGATATCCAGCAATGGTTTGCAGAAGTTAACAGTCTGAAAGTTGTTTTAAACAGAAACAATCCGCTCAAAGGAAAAAGTTGTGTCACATTATGTCCATTGCAGAAATGAATAATTTGGTTTAAAACTGTTATTACTCTAACTGAGAATTCCTAATATGATTATATCGTTGCAGTGTGCACTGTCTTGCATGTTATTCCAAACGTAATTGATTTCTCAGCATTTATTATCAATCACTATGGTATTTTCTTTATGCGATATTCAAATAGTTTATCCATATAAATTTTTTTTTTGATTTACAGCTTGATTCCACACCGTATATTCAGTACAAGTGTGGAATTTTCAGCATGGATATCGGTAGCCCAAATTCAGGCCGACCATAGATATCGGGTGTGCGCCGGTAGGGGATCGAACCCCGGACCATGTGCATGGTCGGCGAGAGTCCTAACCACTGTGCCACCGACGCACAGTTTACTTATATTCTCGATGTTGACACAGGAAATTACGGATATTATGAAAGCTGTCGATTGTATGATTTCCAAAGCTGGGCGCTTTGAAAATCAATCAAATAGAAGTAAAATCGAAAACCAATAGAAAGCGTGTAGTTGATTTGTTTCCTGCATCACATACAATGAATACAACAAGTGACTATACTCTGCTGTATCACAAACATACTTGTGACGAATCCTTACAGACTATTAGGACTCAGTAGACAGGCGTATATTTTTTCAATTACCAAGCCGTGATCAACACTGATCATTTGAGCACTCATGATGCCAGGCTGAAGTAGATGGAATGGGATTCAAACCCGGAACCCAATACCTGTAAGCCAACTTCTTGAATCAGTGTACTACATCTCCAAGCTTTCCTTAAATAGGCAAATGTAATATTTTTACAAAGGTTATTTTGAGAATACTGGAACGCTTGTACACTTTCCTGAAAGTATTTTAGACACCTAAAACATATCAGAATTTCATATAACGCCTTTAAATGTACAGTGACTGGCTGCAACCAAAGACACAAATCATTCTCAGTTATGACACATCGGATAATTCTACTTACAGTGCAATATGTATTCTCTTTTTGACCAAGAATTACGGTTTTAGACAATCGGAAGCAATGGACAGAAATTCTTGAACCTAGAATTCGCGGTGCACTCTGAGTTGATGTTAGATGACGAGTCAGCTAGCATGGTGACCACATTGCAAACTTTTACTAATAAAATTTAGTCAGGACCAACAACAAGGACTAGATGCATGACAGTGGTTACTTCCCAGTAACAGCCTTACAGGAGATCAGTCATAAGCTCGAATAGCTCAGTGGCACCATTACTGACTGCAGCACTGGTGACGTAGGTTCAAATATCAGAGAGGAAAATATTTCCTTCAAGACTGAAGATTTCTTTCTAACGAGTGCTGACGAGCACAAAACTCATATCCAGGACTTTGTCAATCTCTTCCGGACATCTAACATCAATTCAGAGTGCCCTGATATGGCAAGTAACCCAGCTTGACGACCACATTGCAAAATCGACTGATAGAATTCAGTCAGAAACAACACAGAAGACTAGACACATGACATTGTTTACTGGATGGTGACCAATCAACGTAATAACTGTTTTATCCTTGTTCTACGTGATGATTGTAAACCCCGGCCGATAGCTGCTAGTTTGACGTGTTGGTCAGGCTTGCATATCGCAATGACCCAACAAGCTATACTGGCTGAAACTATTGTTCTTGCAGGTCCTACCATGCCAGGAAGGTTGTTAGGAAGGCTATTAGACTAAAAGCAGTCACCGGCATAGTGCAAGAATTTTTTTACACTATGCTGGGGGTCTGTGAGCGAAGTCACACTGCTGGGGAACAGGGATGTAACATCAGGAAGGTGTTTCCCTCGGACGACCAGCATGCCAGCCAATTATTCTGTCTCTCCAAGCTGGATAGAGGGGTTAGAAAAGGTCGACCCCAAAAATTGCACATCCCGACTTACCTCGCGGTGGTCCGTAACCGGAGGTAAATTTACTAATACGGAACCAATCCAAGAAACCAGTTCATACAGGCCGTGTGTGAAGGACCTCAAGTAGTTGTCGCCTGGGCTCTGCGGTCAAGCAACACTAACTCACTTTCTGTCTCAGGTACCCCAAGAACCCATCAACTTCCACGGTGTGGGCAGCAGGGAAGTAACAACCACCAACACACTTCCAAAAGCACACGAAGCCTTCCTGAGCATCATTCTCCTTTACCCACATCACCCTCATCATCTTACGTCCCCACTACAGTAGGTACTATTCTCCAGGTTTGTGAGTAATCTTCACTTCATTCCGTGACCACAAACAACGATGACAGCGATAGAAACACTCCCGACAGCCTCTTAAAGCCACGTCGCCAACTTCATATAGGAGCATTTAATGTCAGGACCCTCTGCCAGATCGGACAACAGACACCATCAGCGAGAATTCTGGTATCTCGAGCCATGGTTGTATGTTGTGTTTCGAAGACACGCATACAAGACCTGAGTGTAGTCATTCACTTAACCCCACCCGGCCAACCAGGTGAATCTGCGAAATTCACCTTGAGGGTTTCAGGAGATTCCTCAGCTAGTTCGCGAGGATTCACAGGTGTAGGGATAGCATTGAGTGTTAGGGCAGGAAAATCACTTCTCGACTGGATCCCAGTAGATATTCGCATGTGTGCAGTCCGTCTGAACGGACCCATTAGAAGAAAGAAGGACGGAGTTACCTGTCGTTGTCTTTTCATAGTCTCCGCCTACGCCCCAACAGACGGCAGTTCGGACGAACTAAAAGATGACTTCTACCTGAAACTGTCTAATTTGCTGCAGAAAGCAAAACGTTCAGATATAGTTGTTTTAGCAGGTGACTTCAATGCCCAAGCAGGGAAGTTCTACCAGACTGAGAAGTATGTAGGTAGTAAGTATGGCGTTCACTGCCGACGAACCGACAACGGTGATCGTCTTCTACAGTTCTGTTCACACAATCATCCATTCCAAAGCAGCACTAACTTTGGGCACACAGAGAGACATTGCGTAACCCAGCGATCTCTATCATCAAATCAACGCTGGACTCAGATAGACAACATAGCGATACGGTATCGTTGGCGAGGGTCAGTAGAAGACTGCCGCTCCTTCTGGAACACGTACGTAGACTCTGATCACGCCCTGCTTCGCGTACGTTTATGCTTGCGATTAAACAGACATAAAAGATTGTTGGTAGCGAAGCAGTTACGTCCCCAACTAGATCGAGACTCTGAGTTCCTATTTATTTCTCCCACCAGGAAATAATCTCGTTGACTTAGAACATACATGAGGATGATATAGTCCTTCTAGGTGATGAAGATGCTGACAAAATAGAGCAGAGTCTTCTCAACACCTTGAGGAGCTGCAATCTGTGAATGTTTGGTATGCGACTTGCTACTGCCAAATGTTAGATGATTCGGCTACAGGACTGGACTACATTGACTCTCAGCTTGGAGATAGGCAGAAGTGAAGTAGTGGCTGGGCGTGTTGACCACTTTATTTATTTGTGGAATTGCATCAGCCAACGCCAGAGCATTGATCGCTGACAAAATCTCAGCACGGATACAGAAAGCTCGTTTGGCACACGTCAACTTACTCCATCTCTGGAGAAGATGTGATATCCGGCTGGCTGTCGACCAAACAGTGTGTGTACTGCTCAACAGTGCGCTCCGTCCTCCTTTATGGCTGTGAGACCTGGCCATTGAATGTGGAAGAAATGAAAAGACTAGCTGTCTTCGATCATAGGTGCCTGCGTTCTATCTCCCACGTGAAGTGGTATAATAAGGTGAGCAATATTGAGGTCAGGCATCGATCGAGTGCTAGGTAAGGAGGGGAAATCAATCGACGAGGCTGTGAAATTACATCGACTGAGATGGTTAGGACATGTGTTACGCATGCATCCCTGCCCATCGTCTTCCTCGACGGGCAATGTTATCTGACACAGGATGGACTAGGTTGGAAACGAGCCAGTGGTGGTCAAACCAAAACATGGCACCAGTCAATGAAATCCACAACAGTTGGTTTAAGTCACGTTGGGAGGTGTAGACTGGCTTCCTGGTTGGGGTCCTCGGGACAGTGAAAACCAATGCCTAGAGACGATTGCTGATATGGTTCAAAATCGTTCTCAATGGCGCAGATGCATCCACTCCTTGTGACTTATAATTTCCAATGAAACTATATTCTTCTTTATTACCATTCCTTTGTCTCACACCTCTGTTTACTGTGTCTATTATGCATTTTTCTACTTTCTTCTCTTACTTTGTGTGCCACATGGAGTGTGGCAAGTCGAACTGCTGCACATCGGTGCAAAGTTCTATGCTGAAACCAGTCGATCAGATGACTGTAAGCACGAAAGACAAGCTTGAAGATCGAATAGGCTGAATGTACGAAAGTGTACAACTAATCTTGAATAGTAAAACTAGACTTTTTATTCGGATTGCTTGTATTTGTGTGCTTTAAAAAATTCAATTGTTCAACAGATGCACGATCCCAGGAAACCGGTTAGAGAAATAGGAAGTTCAACTACTACCCTGCTGGATCATTGCTTTTAGCTTTATAAATAAATTGTTTGAGATGATAATAGGTAGATGAATAGTTTGAAAACACACACACACAAACGTGGAGTTAAACATACTTATGAATAGTGAAGAATTCGTCAGTGACCGTAAAAAAGTAATTTCTCCATACAAAAACATCTATCACATTTGAGGATAATTGAAGTGGTGCTCGATGAGAGACACCATTAGCATCAACTATGATAGCCAATGATCCAGGACCTGAAACAATGAATTCATTCTAAATTATTAGATTATTTTGTAGATAAAAATATTTTAACAAACTTGATTAAAATAAGCTATATAGTTGCGTATTGATTCTTTAACTGATCGTAATAGTTCTACAGTAGCACTTGTACTTAAATTTATTGATACATAACAGTTATCCAGTGCGACACACAGAAATTGTGGAGATAAACACTATAAAAAATAATTATTTTTCTTATTCAAAGAAGAATTATGTGAAATTACAATACACTTAGGTATTTCTGTTAGCTTCATTTCAAAAACCAGAACACATGTGGACACAAGAATATGATGCACTTGAATCAGACCTGATTTAAAGCCAATACAAAGCTGGAAATAATTATTATTATTAGTAGCAGTAATACACACGATAGATATTGGAAATACCTTTTCTTTTTCATCATCGAATGAACACAGATGAAATGATGAAACAGTTTTAAACGATGGGATAAAATTCAAAGTCTAAAAAGGTGATTGAAGGTAGACAGATGATGATCGCTTTCAATATACCTCTAATTGTTCAGCATCACGTAATAAGAGATCCTCATCAGTAGCTATAGCAATTGTACTCTTTTTGGAGGATGTCTGAAGTCTTGAAATTGCTTTGGACTAATTGATAAAAGAAACAACAGAATAAGTTCAAAACTTACGCATATTCTTTTGGACAAAACATCACGATAATGAAAGTATGTGTCATCAGCATATAACTCTTGAAAGACTAGTTGAAATACTACACTACAAACAAAGAAGAAAAGTTTCATGATTATAAAAAGTTATGACATACCCTTTGCTTGTTCCCACGAAAAGTAAGTTTGAAAATGAACACATCGCAGTTATCTATAATAATAATAATAATAATGTGTACATCAAACTAAAAGTTGGTTGTATCGAAATACCTCAGCTCCATTTTCAAGAAAAACAACTGAATTTGTATGTGATTGGAATAACGAGTACTTTGTGTTCTCCGGTTCAATATTGACCACATAATCATGCATGATTTGCTATATCCAATCGGCCATAGATGGTGAAAAGTAGGTCAGTACAGCCTAAAACATTACAAGATGAATAATGGAATGTTAATTAATTACACATGCGAAACTATATGCTCAATAAGCAAAGAATCTTTTACACTAAGCGACAGAGGCTTTTATGCAAGAAATGTGAATCCAATGGAAGTGAGCCAGTACTCAATCTTACCATCAAAAACTCAGTGACATTTTTTCTAACAATGATGAAAAATAATCCACAATCTGAATGGCCTCTTAACAACACAATGAAATAGAAGAAAACGTTATATTCGTTTGCAACAAAGGAAGACGTGAAGAGTAAAACAATTGTTTGACACGTTTTCAGAAAGTACAGCATATACTGCCTAGATTCTTCTACACAAGTCACGTAATGTAGTTGGTTTAAAGACAACACACAAGAAGGCTTTTAACATTAGGTGCTATAATTATAAGCAATTAGAGTTAAAGTAGTCATCATGGGGAAAAAATTGGCTTATAATAATTTTGGTATGACGCTAGAAACCCTTAGACTTATGTCATGTTAGAAAACTCAGTTTAACGACTAATAAATGCAGAATTAAAACAAAAACAAATATCACTCTTAATGGTCTGTTATCACAGCTGACACAAGAAATTCAAATAAAAGACAAAGAAATTGTAATCACCTGAAACTGAAAGACTTGTAGATTGGTTATCAGTGAAAAGAAAAATAGTTATTACTACGGCGGTCATCTCGTTAACTGCATAATATCACACTATCATTCAAACTCTAGGCTAACTAATTCTTAAGAAATGAAAAGGGGACTAAATAACGTTCAATTAGAGAATAATGACAAAATGGTTAGTTTTAATATAACTAGTCTTTATACTAATATACCAATCAATATAGCCTTAGAAGCAGTTAAAAGAGAACTAACTGCTGATCCTGAACTTACTCATAGGACAAAGCTAGCCATTGAGGAAATTATTTTAGGAATCCAATTATGCTTCACGTCTACTATCTATAAATTCCAGGGCAAAATGTAGACAGACAGTAAGTGTAGCAATGGGATCACCAATATCCCCTATCGTAGCTGATATCTTTATGGGAAAATGTAGCTCTTAATACATTTAATCCTACTCCAAAGATATGGTGAAGATATGTGGATGACGCTTTCACAGCGTTAAAACAGAACATATCTCTAGCTTCTCAACACAAACCCACTTTTCGATTACTGCACTACATTTGCTTGGTTACATAAAATTCTCATTTCTCTGGCGCTTCTGGCCAGGAAGTTGTGGAAACTATTGTAATTCGTTTAGCTTTGAATACTGAATCTGTGAATATAATCTTGTTGACTTTTAATGCCTATAACTAACTGTTTGGCTTTTTGTGACTTTTTAACACTAACTAATATCAATAATTGTATGTATTATTGGATTTACAGGCCTAAGTTTATCCAAGTAAGTGGGGCTTTGGTTTTCATATCGTTTTCGGTAATTGTATGTAATAGTGATACTACTGCGACGGTTTTTGTTGTTGTTGTCGCTGCATTTCCTGTTGCGAATTTTTCGCTCTTGTTGTTCTGATTGCGTTAATTCTTGTATTCCTGATTGAACAGTAAAGGGAATAAAATTCACATTTGAATCAGAAAATGAACAACGAGGATTAGCTATGTTAGACTGTAAAATAAAACGAACGGAAAAAGGCAAACTTCACACTAGCGTTTATAAAAAGCCAACGCATTCTAATAGATACTTGAACTTTAATTGATCCTATCCGTTATCTGTAAAGGCAGGCTTAGTTAAGTGTCTAACAAACCGAGCAGTAGCACTAAGTAGTACAAAAAGGACCCAAATGGTGTGATGAAACACATAGAAGAAGCGTTGGTGTTGAACAGATATCCTATAAAATTCATTAGGCATATCAGAAAAGGTCAAAAGCGAAATAAAAATAATGGTGAAACTAACAATGATAACACAAATAAGAAAGAATATAAGGCGTCTACAGTCTCATCATGTAGGGGGAGCACATCTGAGACCCTACATAGGATTCTTAATAGGGCAGTAATTAGGGTGGCATTTAAACCCACAAAAGCACTCAGGGACAAGCTCTGTAGGTCGAACGACCCTGTTGATCCAATTAGACAAAATAACATAATTCACAAAATACCTTGCAATGACTGTGAGGTCAACTAGATAGGCCAAACTAGTAGATGGGGAGTAGTCCGATTATCAGGACATGAGAATTTAGCCAAGTGCGGAATGGTTGACCCCGCGAAAAAAAAGCTCAGCAACTGTAGTGCATGCATTAACACACAACCACACAATAGGGTGGGAGAGGGTTAAAATTCTAAGAAGTAAGTAATATAGGTAGTTGGAGGGAGAGGTTGATTACTGAGTCTTTGATCATAGAATCTACATCCTAAACATGCAGTAGAAGTGACTCAGTACAAATACCAGAAATAAAGGAGGTATTACTACTAATCACATTATAGGATAAGAAACAATTTTAATTCTTGTTTTTATTTCAGTTGACGTTATCACACCCTAAGCTTTTGTTTATTTTACTTTACTGACCAAAAATCTTATTCCTCATCTTATTGTCTAAGGACACTCGTATTATATTTTATTGATAACACTAATATTATTTCTAAATGCACTTTATCTTCCCTTCTGTTTCACATATGTCTATTGAACTTTATAGTAAAATTTTCTCCATAATGGAATTATACTCCACAACATTGCCCAGGGTTTAGTCTTATATCAGGGAATATTTCAATGAAAGAAAGATGCTTCAATGAAAGGTTCGTTAACAGTGGATTTAATGTAAGTAATCTTTCAAAAATAATCTGCGTGCTAAGTATGTAATTGAACGAAAGCACGATAATGCATGTCACTTCTTAGGTCTTCATGTAGGAGCACAGATACATCTATGTTAATATACGGAATAAGCTGGGCTTAAATTTAACTATAGAATATGGTGAAAAGGTAGCCTCATCATAAACGTAAAACACGTTATGACTAAAATATCGCTTAGCGCCGGTTTTTGACAAAAACGTACCAGTAATTATAAGAACGCATAAACAAAAGTAATAAAGAACAACAAAAATGATGAGGCTATTTTTAAAACTTTCGCCTTAATGGTGCATGAAAATGCCAGAGGTACCAGTTACTTATTATGAACTTCTCTGGTGAAACTATTCAACTACCAATGTAGTCTCTAAGTCTAGACGAACAACTTATTGTGACGATCAAAAACAGTGTATCCTTCGTCTCTTGAAACTATGCCCACTAAAAGGAAAGCACTGCCAAAGCACATAAACTAGGGAAAAATAAAATGGGCATTTTAATTCTCATTCTTCTGTCTGTCTTAGACGCAGAACTTTGCACCGATGTGCAGCAGTTCGACTTGCCACACTCCATGTGGCACACAAAGTAAGAGAAGAAAGTAGAAAAATGCATAATAGACACAGTAAACAGAGGTGTGAGACAAAGGAATGGTAATAAAGAAGAATATAGTTTCATTGGAAATTATAAGTCACAAGGAGTGGATGCATCTGCGCCATTGAGAACGATTTTGAACCATATCAGCAATCGTCTCTAGGCATTGGTTTTCACTGTCCCGAGGACCCCAACCAGGAAGCCAGTCTACACCTCCCAACGTGACTTAAACCAACTGTTGTGGATTTCATTGACTGGTGCCATGTTTTGGTTTGACCACCACTGGCTCGTTTCCAACCTAGTCCATCCTGTGTCAGATAACATTGCCCGTCGAGGAAGACGATGGGCAGGGATGCATGCGTAACACATGTCCTAACCATCTCAGTCGATGTAATTTCACAGCCTCGTCGATTGATTTCCCCTCCTTACCTAGCACTCGATCGATGCCTGACCTCAATATTGCTCACCTTATTATACCACTTCACGTGGGAGATAGAACGCAGGCACCTATGATCGAAGACAGCTAGTCTTTTCATTTCTTCCACATTCAATGGCCAGGTCTCACAGCCATAAAGGAGGACGGAGCGCACTGTTGAGCAGTACACACACTGTTTGGTTGGTAGACGGATATCACGTCTACGCCAGATATGGCGTAAACTCGCATATGCAAAACTAGCCCTGTGTATCCGTACTGAGATTTTGTCGAAGATCAACCCATTGGGGCTGATGGTACTTCCCAAATAAGTGAAGCGGTCAACGTGCTCTACCACTTGACTCCCTTTTCTAAACTAGGAGTCAGTGTAGTCCAGTCCTGTAACATCATCTTACATTTGGCGGGAGCGAATCGCATGCCAAACATTCGTAGATTGCAGCTCAAGGTGTTCAGAAGATTTTGCATTTTGTCAGCGTCCTCGCCTAGAAGGACTATATCATCTGCATATTCTACGTCAACGAGATTATTCCCTGGTAGCAAGTCAATCCTTGAGTCCCTGAAGTGAGTTAGGGTTAAATCCATTAGTACATCTATAATGAAATTGGATAGAAATGGGGATAATGGGCATCCGTGATGGACACCACTAGTCGTTCTCATTTACAAATTTGAAACCTAAAGACAAGTTAAAAGTAGCATGATCATTTGATGACTGTCTAACAGAGTACATAACATCGACCGATTGATACCTCTAAAGGTAACTGATAAACAAATTAAACTCAATGTTCTCCGTTCACTACAGCAATCGCAAGCAAAGTATGCTGACCTAAATCTAGTATTCACAATTTACAGACACAGACATTCTGTTGCCTCAATTACTTTAATTTGAATATATCGTAGTAACATTAAAGGATTCCAGCTTTACAACAAAGACTTTCCACTTCCCTATGTGATTTAGTTAACAGTACACTATAATGAGGTCAATTTACTATAATGAAGTATCTTGATCATTTATTAAGTCCATGCAATCCAAGCCACTAGTTTCTAGCAACTTTCAGCCAGTGACTCCCGGGTTCAAAACTCACTCGATCCAATCCAGTTTGGACAACTGGGTAATATTATCAGTCTTCACATG